TCTCTCTCTCTCTCTCTCTCTCTCTCTCTCTCTATCTATCTATCTATCTATCTATCTATCTATCTATCTATCTATCTATCTCTATCTATCTATCTCTCTCTCTCTCTTTCGCGGCACACACTGAACTGCGCAGACACCAAACGGTTTCGCCGAGATCATGAAGACGACCGCAGAACTGTGAACACACTGAACGGTTTCGCCGAGATCATGCGATCGTGTTCCGACACAGGTGCTCCCCGGTTGCTCGTGCGATGTTATATACATCACCCTGCCCTGGCTTCATGATCTCCCCAACAGTGTTTGTGAGTGTGTGTGGCAGTGGACAACCCCTCCCGAAAACCAGGTGCACACTTCGATTCCACCTGATGACCGGTGCACATACCGATTCATATATATATATGTACATATATATAAATATATATATATACATATATATCATCGGGATGACGGGTCTGTGTCCCCGCCGCTGAAGCTGCTCGTACCCCCACCCCCCCCCGTCGGGCAAGTACCCCCACCAATAGTTCCAACACAGAATTTCCCCGTCTCATTGCATCGGCCACGTCACCTATTCTCGCTGCAATTGCCGTGCCTGCTCCTGTTGTCGCTCTCGCCAGGGCGGACGCCGCATTGTCAAGGCCCTGACAATACGATCTCGTTGAGTCTTCCATTACTTTGCCCAAGGACGATCCGCCTGATCCGCCTTCATGCACCCTCGCCTTGCCGGTCCCTGTTCGGCGTGCCTTGTTTGAGCTGTCCGACTTTTCCGTCCCCGTTGCGTCGGATCCAACCGTCGGTGATGGCTCCTGTCGTTTCCCCGGGAGTGACTCCGATGCCATGGTGTTGTCGCACTGGATGGATGGTCGATCAAGTTTCCACGTCATCGTGTCCCACAACGCCTTCTCGAAAGACAGCGACAGTTTTCTCTCTCTCCGCTCCTCAATTGTTATGTCAAAATACGATGGCTCCCCCGACTTCTTTTGTTGCTTGTCGAGGATGAGCTTCGCCGTTGTCATCATGTTCGTCTACTTCTTCCGGCAATCCTCCGCTGTCCTGTGCATGTACCCGGCATCCCTCATCCGTGCGACGACCCATGCGTACCAATCCTTCATCGGCATCATGCGGTGTTGGCCGTTGGCGTCCGCCATGAGGGCGTCGTCCTCTTGCATCATCCTCGCGAGATGGATCCTCTCGTCCAACGTCCACGGCACCTTCGGTTTCGGGTTGGTGGTCGGAGGCCGCCCACCACGATGCTTCTGCTGATTACCCTTTGCCGCATTCACATCCTCGCCTGGACGCCCTTGACCCCCCCCCTCCTCCACACGACGACCACCATCTTCATCGTTCATCTCCCTCGGCTGGGTGGAAGTGCCGTCGTCGTCGTCTCCTTCATCTGCCCCGTGACTGGACCCACCCGTGTCATCGTGCCATGTGTCCTCACCATCGCCAACTCCTCCAACCATCCAACCGGTTGTATCCGCCGGCAGTTCACCGTTGTCATCGCTGTCGACATCTATCATGGACGCCGACTGATCGCTCAAAGTGCGTCTGCATGACGAGGGGGAAGGGATGGAACTGCCCCCAAATGTCGGGTGGGTGCTTTGCCCCAACGTCCGCCGACTGCTTTGCCCACACAGAGCCGTCTATGGCGGCTCCGCTACGCAGCCATACCCACCATCCATGGACTGAGATGCAGGGAACACCTGACCGGAAATGCCAAACGCCGTTCCGGCGGGCATGGATTGCACACCCGGCGGTGCATACCCGCCAGCAAGTTGCGCGCTGAACGAAGCGTTAGAGACGTACCCTGCCCCGACTGGCATCGACTGTGGTGCAGGGCGCAAAGGCAATCGCGGACGTGCAATCATGGACTGCATGCGCGACATCGACTTCCCGGGTCCCGAAGGAACTCCCATGGCCTGCCCTTGCATTCCCTCGACGGCTCCCCTGTGGAACGACAGCATAGTCGGGGATGGGGATGCAACATATGCGACACCTGCATGCTGTCTAGGATCTGCCACCTGAAAACCGCCTTCCCCACCGACATTCGGATCCGCCCTCCACCTCGACGAATCCATCACGACGCAAGACGTGCGAAAGATCCGATCTTTCCCCCACCCCAAAGAGTGGCAGGCCCTTGCAACACCTTTTCGTGCAACAATGTGTTGCTACGCACACAGCGTGAACACGACCAACAACAGTACCACTCCACACAGAATCACAGCCAACAACACCGCTGCAGCTAAGGCAAAGAAGAACAACAGCACCACCAAAGACGCATTCACACGATAACACAGTCGGCCGCTGTCGTCCACCCCGTTCGTTACGAAGATGTAAACAGGACGGCAGTAGCTGCATTGATGATGATCGACCGTCGACCGTGTTCGAAGATCACGCACTCCCACTTCGCCACTGAACGGCAACGGGCCATGCACGTATTCACGTGCATCACGTATTCACGTGCATTCACACCATCCTCAACGACTCTCTCCATCATGCCAAAGCGGTTGTGCGAAGATCGACCATGCGGAGGCTGGTTTGAAGTACGAGCAACAGCCATTGCGATCCCAGACAAGCGTGGAAGGAGCACCCCTCCAGCGAAAGACGACGAAGGCCGAACCGCCAGATAGGATTGCGCACTGCACACTCGTGTGGCGAGAAGCCCTTGCCTCCGTGATGGTACTGGGACGCGCCCAACTTCCACCCGTGTCGTGGACATAACGACAACGATAGCATCCCACAACACCCCCTTCAGACAACTGCCTCCAACCACGCACACACGCCTCACGGCCGCTCCTCGCTGCACGAAGAACCGCCGACATTGTTAACGGTCGATGACGGCCGGCCCACACTACGCATGCCCCAACACTGCATGGGTGGCCGACGTGCGCACTGCGCGAATTTGAATTTCCCTCCAACCCGTGCGAAGCGAGCGACAACACCCAGCGGAACGCCCCGCTCCCACAGCCCAACCCATTTCGAATTTTGTGCCCGTTGCAAATTTGGCACACGGGACCGCAAGTCCCCGCGCAACGGAACGGTCCCACACCTGAATGGTGCGACGCACCACTGATGTCCGTGGTTTGAAGAGACGGTCCACTCCATCGTGCACCGGACCAGGCCGCCCGTGCCCTGGTACGACATCTTTGGGGATGCCCCCCCCCCGTCTCAAAAAACTTCGGTTTTGGAAAACAGTAGCCGGACGGTCTGACAGTTTTTTCCAGCCGCCGGCCATGTGGAAACGCTCCTGACGGTTTTCCACGACAGTCCGGCACTGGCAGTGGGGTCCCGAATTCGCATTGGCGCACCTTCCTGGCAGTCCAGTGGGTCCCGTAAACATGGAAATGGAAAATCACTTTCACGCCGCCGCCCAGTGGGGTCCAAGCCTATGCTAATCTTCATTCTCTGTATCGTTCCAATTTTAACAGATGTCCCGAAGGACAGTCCTCCTGCGTTTATATCCCCTCAGTATTATCTTTCTTGGATGTACCTGACCACAATTACCGGCAGTGTACTCCCGGAGGCTCTAGAAGCCGTGCGGTGGACTGAACGCCACGTGGAAGTCAGGTTGGTGAGATTAGCCGGGGGCCAGGGCCCACTAGCACCGTTGAGTTTCCTCAACGCCTGAATCTGGACATGTTTGAGGAGACGTGCAGAATATATATATATATATATATATATATATCGTCAAATAGAACTGCCCGGTAAACCGTAGGCAGAGAGGGAGAAGAGGACAACAAACGAGGGGCTGTGACAAACTGTTTCGT